ATTCCCACCAACAATGTAAAAGTGTTCCCTTTTCTCTGCAGCTGCACCAGCACCTGTTGTTTTTGACTTCTTAATGATAGCCATCTTTATCCGAGTTAGTATCTCATTGTGGTTTGGATTTGCAATTCTCTGATGACTAGTAAGGCTGGGCGTTTTTTCACATGTCTGTTGGCTGCTTGTATGGTCATCTGTTGAGAAGTATATGTTCATCTCACATTGTATAAAGGGTACTAACCAGTACAATTAGAAACTGGTATTAAAAAAACTGTAAAGACTTAAAGTTATCACTACTTTCACGCGATATGACAATATGACAATACTGGAAAAATAACATCAACTGAAAATCTACCGTGAGCAATAACACATATCAACACGGTGATGGGGCAAAAAACAGTTAAGGAAATACACAGCTTTCACATATATAACCCTCCAGCTGCAAGATCCTACAGGACAGGCATCATCCACAATGGCAAACAAAAAAGACAATACGATAAACCTCTGAGCAGCAGGGGATTAGGGGCACTGACCCCCTCCATGCAGTTAAAAATCTGCATTTAATTTCTGCCTCCTAAGAGACTTAACAGACGATGCCAATGGATAATATCGAACACGCCTTCTTTATGAGTACCCACGGGATAGTTTCCAAATCCTTGTGGTCTTCAGGTTGAGTGGCCAGAGGAGGTGGGGCGGGGGAGAGAAGGAGGTGGAAGGAGCAGTGAGGCAGGACACTGGCTGTACCTTTATGGAAATGCGCCATGATCTGTGTGACTTTTGGCGTTTTCATTTCTCTAACCATGTTTTCACATAGTACCAATTCTTCTTTACTGTTCACTTCAGTTTCAGTGCCCACATCATGGAAGCGTCCATGTCATGAAAGAAACTCCAAGCAGTCTTGAGTAGTCACAAACTTTCTTCCAGATTGTCTAGAGTCACTTTGTTTTCTGGCCCTGCCTCTTTACCTCTTCTTCCGCATTGTCTCGCCTGGTTCAGAAGCGCTCGTCTTCACAAAGTAGTCTTTTGCTAATTCCTCTGGCATGCTATTAGCTCTTGAACTTCTCTAATGCCCGTATCGTGAAACCCTTCACCCCCACCTTTTAGCCATACCCTCAATCTCATTCACGATTTCCTTGGTCAGCGCTGTTGTAAATCCTGTGAAGTCATGCATAATGTCTAGACACAGCTTTCTCCAGCAGGAAATTATTGCTTCAGGCTTGATGGCTTTCATGGCATCTTTAATGGTGTGATCCTTTCAGAATTTCATGTTCTCTCTATTGTGGTTCTCTTCCAGTGTTAACAAATTTTTCTGTGGCATGCTGTGTGTGATAAACCTTAAATGTCCTATGACCTCTGATCTAGAAGCTGAATTACAAACACTGTGTTTGAGGCAAGTAGACTACTTCAACACTTTGGTGTTTAATTCATGGGGTTCTGGGTGGCCAGGGGTATTGGCCAATATTAAAAGAATGTTAAAAGGCAGTTTCTTACTGGCCAGGTACTTCGTAACTTCAGGGACAAAGCATCAAAGGAACCAAAATCCAGAAAAAGGTTCTTACTGTCTAGGCTTTCTTGGTGTACAACCAAAAGACTGAGAGCTGGTGTTTATCTTTTTCCTTGAAGGCTTGCAGGTTAGCAGCTGTATAAGTAAGGGCAGTCCTTATTATAAACCTGACTGCATTTGCACAAAACAGTGAACTTAGCCTATCCCTTCTTGCCTTAAATCTTGATACTTGCTTCTCTTCCTTCCTAATACTTGTCCTCTGTGGCATTCCTGCCCGCCCTCGAATATAGCACTTTCATCTGCATTAAAAACTTATTTAGGTAGATATTCTTTCACCACACTGATTTCCTTAATGGCATCTGTGAACTCAGCTGCTGCCTCTAGGTGGCAAAAGCTGTTTCTCTTGTTATCCTGACTTTTTAAAGCCAAACCTATTTCTAAAATTGTCAAACCATCCTTTACTGCCATTAAATTCTTCAGCTTTAGATCACCTTCCTTTTGTTTTAAGTTGTCATATAATGACTTTGATTTTTTGAGTCAAAGTAGTCTATAGTTTTATGCTTTTCTTATAGAAATGCTGCACTCACTTAAAAGCAGCATTTTCAACATGACATGAAAAGGCATTTTGGGAAAAGTGCAAGGTTTTCATGCTTGCTGGTGTAGCTGCAGCAATAACTTCATGAATTTCCTTTTGTTTCTACAATGGTCTTGATGCTGGACTCATTTATCTTGAAACGACAGCAACTGTAGCTGCAGACCTCAAAATACAGCATATGTCAAGCAACTGAACTTTTCTTGCAATGTAATGACTTTTCTCTGCTTCTTGGGAGTACTTCCAGTATCACCAGCACTTTGTACAGATGGTGCGACTCAAGGTTTACAGAATCACACTAAGCATGATGAAAAACACGTGTGAACCATGAGAGATCACTTTTTACTGTGGTGTGGAATTTACTGAAGAGAGAAACTGCTCACATGAGGACAATGAACGTCCCATGGCATTTTAAGCTCACTGCAAAAGCAACAGGAGGTGACTATGAAAGTATTATAGTAGTACACAGAAGTAATAACTATAGTTAATTATACACAGTTATGGTTTAATGCTGCATCCTTACATTTGTTAATATTATCTCGAATGTGAATGGTCCTGTATGGTCTTTAAGTGTGTGTACAGGTTCTGATATATTTTAGCTTTTTATAATGTATTTGTATATATTTCATGGTGGTAAATAATAAACTGGTATCTACACATTTATGCATTCATGACATACTTTTTTCATAATTTTTTTGATATTTCTGGGCTACACAGTTCATCTCCTTTTTTCAAATGGTTGCAAATCTCCAAAGATTTAAAAATATATTTATTGAAAAAAATCTGTGTGGAAGTGGACCTGTGCAGTTGTGTTGTTCAAAGGACAACTGCATATTTAGGCTTAAGCTTACTAATAAGTGAGTAAAACCTATATGAAGGAAGTTCCCAAATTCCACAACTAGATAAAAAAGGATGGCTCATCATGTTTTTCTTGACAGGAAGACCACAATATGTTGATTTTCTCTGCGGTAATTAACAAACTTAACATCCCAATAAAGCGCCAACTGATCTTTTTTGGGGGGGTGGGGGAAAGAGGGAGCCAATTTTAAGAAAGCCCAAATTCACATTAAAAAAAAAAAAATAAGGCTGGGTACGGTGGCTCAAGCCTGTAATCACAGCACTTTGGGAGGCTGAGGTGAGGGCACTGCCTGAGCCCACGGGTTCGAGAATAGCCTGGACAACTTGGCGAGACCTTATCTCTATAATCAATCAAAAAAAAAACACAAAAACTGGGTGTGGTAGTGAGCACCTGTAGTTCCGGCTACTTGAAAGACTGAGGTGGAAGGATTACCTGAGCCCAGCAGGTCAACGCTGCGGTGGCCATGACTGTGCCACTGTACTCCAGCCTGGGCAATGGAGTGAGACTCCAACTCAAAAAAACAAAAACAAAAACAAGAAAAGTGAGAACAGGAAGATAAAAAAGAACAATGAAGGTGAAATTAGCCTTAAATAATCTTAAATATAACTTTAAATTTATTAATTAAAAGTCTGTATACTTTTAATACATTTAGTATAAATCTACTAGCTCACTGTAGATTGATCAATGGAATGAGACAAATAGTACACAAACACTCAAACGATTTCATACACAAGAATAAATTCCAAAGATTTAAATGAAAAAACCGTGCACATAACAGTATTAGGAGACATAATGTTCTTGGTAACCTTAGAATGAACAAGGTATTTCTGAATAATAATCAAAATTCAGGTAAACATGACAACAAAAAATAAAAATAAACTTCAGTATGGCAAGACAATAAAATAAAAACATAAATGACAGGGAAAAAAATGTTGTGATTCACATAACAACCAGAGTAAATATCTCTAATGTTTAAAAGAGTTTCTGCTAATTTATAAAAGATCAACAAATAAATCCTAAAAATGGACCAAAGATATAAACAATTTACAGACAAGCAAGTTCAAATGAAACTAACACATTTGAAAAGCTGTGCTTACCTTTATCTATAACAACTAAGAGCCCAAACTGAGATGCTATTTTTTACCTTATCAGATTGGTAAAAATAAAAAATTTGATAATAAAAACTGTGGGGAAATTAGGGAGCGTCATACTTTTTAAATTTTTTTAGATAGAGCCTCACTCTGTTGTCCAGGCTAGAGTATAGTGGTATGATCATAGCTCACTGCTATCTTAAACTCCTTGGGTTCAAATGCTCCTCCCACCTCTGCCTCCTGAGTATTTGGGACTATAGGTGTGTGCCATGATGCCTGGCTAGTTTTTTAAAAAATTTTTTATAGAGACAAGGTCTCACTATGTTGCCCAGGCTTGGCCTCCTAAAGTGCTAGGATTACAGGTGTGAGCCACTGCAACTCAGTCCCAGATTTTGTACATTCTTTTTGAATTGGTACAAATCCTGGAGAGAACAATAACCGAATTACAAATGCAATTTGTAAAAATGCATTTGACCCAGCGATTACACTTGTACGTATTACTGACATGTACCCACAAAAATTCACCTTATGTAAAATGTTATTCATTGCTGCATTGTTTGTAATATCAATAAATGTCTATCAAATAGAAAACTTACTGAATTGTGGTATGTCCATAAAATGGAATACCAACTAGTCATAAAATAAGAAAAAAAGTAAAAGGAAGCACTTTTGTCTTAATATAAAAAAAACTTCCTACATTTATTATTCACTAAAAATAAGCAAGGTGGAAAAAACTGTGTACATTATACTAATCACTGTTAAAAAGGGAGGAAGACTCTATGTTTACTTTTGCTTACACATTATATTAAAAATACCTGAAAGAAGATGAGAGTGGGAAGTGACTGGATGGGACAGAGGCAAGCAAGACTTTTTACAGTCTCTTCATGGACTTTATACTTTACTTCAGAACCATGTGGACATCTATTAAAAATCAAATTACTCTTATAAGGTATTGCAACATCAAGATATTACATTGCAATATTGGGCTATTACAGCACTATTTTTGCAAACAGCTCCGGGGTTTAAGGTGTCAGGTTGAGACATGACATACTTGGTATCCCTTGCGTTTGGCTCCACGGTGACCCACATGTCATGGACGGGGTGTGGCTGGCTGTCGTCTTTGCTTGCTTCCCTTGGCTCCTGAAGAGCTTCTGTCTCCAAGTCAGCGGGCTCTGCAAAGCACACAGATGACAAGAAACATGTCTCCAAGCGACATTTGTTGAGAGAAGACTGAATGAACTTTCTGTACATTTATCACCACCTGGTTTCAGGCCAGCATATTAATTATAACAGAAAAATTAACTATTTCATTAGGATGTCTTTAATCTGGGTTGCTGTATTAAGTCTCTAGTTCAGTCATTTCTGAAATGACAGACTCTTCCTTTTGCCTTTTTACTGTAATAGAATATTTAAAAGAACTATGGTACTAAAAAAAGAAATTAGGTACTCGGTATTTTTCACTATTATATAACATTTTCATTAAAATTTCAGTAATATGTAAACCGGTTTAAAGAAAGTACAAAAAGGAATTTACTGAATAAAGATATCTGTGGTTAGAAATATGAAAGAATACACTGCGATATCAATGATTGATAACTAAAATGAAATTTCAATCTTCAAAATCTATTTTTCAACACTCAACAAAGAACAGGAAGAAAGAACTATTATCTGGACTTTCACAATGATATTGAGAACAAAGTGCACTACATCTATTTTCTTGCTCCTCGAATAATGACTAATCAGGGAGCTATCTCTGTTTCCTCATGTCTGCCTGGCTGATGTTTTCTGAAAGTGAACATGGTGAGAAGAGAGGTTCTTTCTTCATTTGTTAGCTTTTCTTTTTCTGTTCCAAAAAAGATCATTGGTACCATCTTGTTGAAGCCAACACCATCCTCTTTTCCCCCTAGAATCCAGGCATAGTATTTTTCTCTAGTTTCTAGTTAGTTGTCTTATTTAGAAAGACAACTAATATTGTAACAATCTTTAAAGTTTTTATCCTTTATTTAAATAATTATTTTGGTCATTCATATAAGATAAGCACTTGGGGGAAAATCTTATTTTACTTTTTAATGAATAACTGTTCTCTAGTGCCTTGAGCCATGTCACTATCAACTTATTCTGTAAACCTGATTGTGACTGTATTGCTCACAAAGCCTCAAATATTTACCATCTGGCTCTTTGCAGAAAAGTCAATCAATTTTGAATACCACAAAGCCTCCATTTATGCGTAACAGCTGTTTTCTTTCTTTCTTTCTTTTTTTTTTGAGTCGAAGTTTCACTCTGTCGCCCAGACTGGAGTGCAGTGGCTGCTCCCGGCCACCGCAGCCTCGACCTGCTGGGGCTCCAGCGATCCTTCTGCCTCAGCCTTCCGAGTAGCTGGAACTACAGGCGCGTGCTACCATGACCGGCTGATTTTTGGATTATTGTAGAAATGAGGTCTCACCAAGTTGCCCACTTGGGTCTCAAACCCGCAGGCTCAGGCAATCCACTCACCTCAGCCTCCCAAGGCGTGGGATTACAGGTTGAGGCACCGAGCCCGGCTTGTTTTCTTTTTTAAAGAAAAGACAAAAGATGCTGTCTTAGTTCAGGTTGCTGTAACAGAGTATTATAGACTGGGTGGCTTAAACAATGGAAATTTATTTCCCCAATTCTGGAGGCTGAAGAATTCAGTATCAGGGTGCCAGCATGAGCAATTCTAGAGAAGGCCCTCTTCCTGGTCTGCACATGGCAGAGAGCAGAGAGCCAGCTCTCTGGCCTCTTCTTATAAGGGCACTAATTCCATTTATGAAGGCTCCAACCTCATGGCCCAGTTATCCCACAGAGGCTCTACCTCCATATACCATCACAGCAGGGATTCCACATTATCAGATGGTTGTTTTGGGTGGACACAAACATTCACTCCACAACACATAATAGCAACTATGGCTCTAATGGCAAAGTTTATTTGACTGTGGCGGATTAGAGATGGTCACATGTGGCCAGGTTCTGACATTCTTCTCACCAAGAGACAGCTGTTTCTCCTCCCCTTAGCTTTCGGCTGGCACTGGATGGCCTTGGCAATGGGGAATGAGGAAGCAATGCTCGGCCTGTTCCAGGCTCAGCCTTTAAGAGAACTGGCAGCTTCCCTGTGGCATCTGGACGTCTGAGCCCCTGTGGAAGTTTACCCTGGGAAGGCCACAGGCAATGCCTGGAGGCTACAGTGCAGGAGAGGGACCCAGTAGAGCAGGCCAAGGCACTGGGCATGACAGCAATGCCTCCTCACACCCTCCAGGGAAGCCCCACTGAGGAAACCAGCTGAGGCCACACAAGGCTGAACCTTCCAAGTTCTCCACTCACAAAAGAGTGAGATAAAATAGTTACTTCAAGCTACTAAGTTTCAGAAGTAACTTGATGGAAGTAACAAGAGATAACTGAGGCAGCATTTCATATCCGAGAGAGCAGGCTTTGGGGCGAGCAGCAGGCAGATGCTGGGAGGCTTCCAGGGCTCAGAAGGTGGGAGAATGGCCAGAGGGAACAGCTGTGGGGGCTGGAGAAAGGGGGTTTCATGACATAGTGGCAGAAAATGTGGAACCTGCGGCAATGAGGAAGACAGAACACGCACTCTATGGATTCTACAGTCTAGTTAAGGAGCTAGCAAGGCAGAAAACCAAAAGGGCCAGTTAGCTTTTAGGAGTCTCTGGAAAAAAATGAGGAGAGACAGTAATTGAAGGAAAAACACTTAAGAGTATGAGCAGAACTTAGAAGAGATACAAAGACAACAAAAGCCTCTCAAAGGAAGACAAAGAGTACATTAAGGGCAGTAAAATGTGGCCTTGGTGCAAAGACAAAGTCAAGGGCAAGCCTGTAAGACCTGCTATGGCACAGGAAGGTTTGAAGGTGTGCTTTGCAGACCCTCTTTGTTGGACAAAAGGATTTCTAAGAACTCAAGAGCAATGCCTCCCAAGCACCCTTTTGGAACTCAAGGTAGGGAAGGGTCTGCCTCAAAAAAATAAGCAGCTTTTGCTAAATGTAGTAAATATCAATAACATCCCTACAAAACACACATGATTATTTAGAAATTCTCCTTGGGAAGCCCTACCAGCTCCGACGGAAGGGGGAAGACCTTGTTCAGAAGAGAAGAACCCTTGAGGGCACCAACCCTTGGAGCCAAGGCAGTAGACTGACAATGCGACTCCTGGCTGAAGCTTGGAATTCCTATGGACCAATGCCTGCTACATGCTACCCATCTGCCTTGCTTTTGAAAAGGAGTTTTAGCCGGGCTCGGTGGCTCAACCTGTAATCCCGCGCCTTTGGGAGGCTGAGGTGAGTGGATTGCCTGAGCCCGCGGGTTCCAGACCCGCCTGGGCAGCGAAACCTCATCTCTACAATTAAAAAAAAAAAAAAAAATCAGCCAGGCGTGGTAGCGCGCCCCAGTGATTCCGGCTAGGATCACCAGAGCCCAGCAGGTCGAGGCTGCGGTGGCCGGGAGTGGCCCCTGCCCTCCAGTCTGGGAGACAGAGTGAGACTCCAACTCAAAAAAAAAGAAAAGAAAGGAGTCTTCTACAAGTCTGTTTTGTCACTGTATGTTGGGGTGTGGAAGGCAAGTAACGTCTTCTTTCACTCATGGGTCTTCAGGTTGAGTCACTGCACTAGAAGAACTGTGCATGAGAAAAAGTTATCCACACACAGGCCTGACTGTGACATCACTGCCTTAGAGTCTACGCCAGTACCATAATGGGGTGAGGCTTTGAGAAGGGGTGAGTATAATTTGCACCGGGGAGGAACATAAGTACTTTTTGGTTTTTAGTTGGCGTCTTACTCTGTCGCCCAGGCTGGAATGCAGTGGCACGCTCCCAGCCACCATAGCCTCGACCTGCTGGGCTCAGGCAATCCTTCCACCTCAGTCTTCCAAGTAGCTGGAACTACAGGCACACACCACCACACTTGGCCAATTTTTCTTTTTTGTTTATTGTAGAGACGAGGTCTCACCAAGTTGCCCAGACTGGTTTTGAACCCCTGGGCTCAGGGAATCCTCTCACCTCCATTTCCGAAATTGCTGGTATTACAGGTGTGAGCCACTGTGCCTGGCTTATAAGTACTTTTTGGTCATAGGGACAACTCTGGCAAATTAAGTATCTGAAAATTCTTTAACTCTCTTCCCACTGAGACGTGGGCTTTATTTCCCCTCCCTTTGAATGGGGGCTGGGCTGTGAGTTTTGATAATGCCATACAGCAGAAGTGAACCGTGCCAGTTCTGAGACTAGCTTTTCTGAGTACAAGCAGCGACCACCTTGCATCTGTGAACCCTGGACCATCATGTGAGAAGGCAGACTGTCCTGCTAGAAGGAGTACACAGAATGGCCCCGCAGCCACATGAAGAGGGAGAGGACCCAGCTTAGTGGCACTTGCCCAAACCACAGAGAAGACACTTAGGACCCTCCAGACCACCCCTGCAGAATGGCCAAGTCTGACTCGATTCCTGACACATAAAATCATGAGATATAATAAGACAGAGGATGTTTTAACACTAAGCTCTGAGCCGGGTGCGGTGGCTCAAGTCTATAGTCCCAGTATTTTGGGAGGCCAAGGCGAGAGGATTGCCCACCCAGGGTTTCGAGACCAGCCTGGGCAACTCGGCGAGACCTCATCACTACTATAAATAAAAAAATTAGCCAGCCTCAGTGGCTCAGCCTGTAATCCCGCGCCTTGGGGAGGCTGAGGTGAGTGGACTGCCTGAGCCCGCGGGTTCAAGACCTGCCTGGGCAACTTGGCGAGACCTCATCTCTACAATAAAGCAAAAAAAATTAGCCGGGTGTGGTAGCGCGCACCTGTAGTTCCAGCTATTGGAAGGCTGAGGCGGAGGGATAGCTGGAACCCAGCAGTCAAGGCTGCAGTCTGGGTGACAGAGTGAGACTCCAACTCAAAAAAAAAAAAATTAGCCAGGTATGGTGGCGCACGTCTTAAGTTCCAGCTACTTGGGAGATTGAGGCAGAAGGATCGCCTGAGCCCAGCAGGTCAAGGCTGCAGTGGCTGTGAGCATGCCATTGCACTCCAGCCCAGGCAACAGAGTGAGACTCCGCCTCAAAAACAAAACAAAACAAAACAACCACTAAGTTTTGGGGTGATCTGCTAGGTAGTAATAAAAAACCCAGATCAGTTACTAGAAGCATAAAAACGGTGAACCTAATTTGAGATGAGTCACTCAAACATATATACAAACTTTGATAACTTGTGTATAAAGCCTTGTTTACAAAGAAGACTGTTTAAAATTCTTCTACTTTTTAGGTAAAGATGAGGTTTTGCTATGTTGCTGAGCTGGTCTAGAAGCTCTGGCCTCAAGTTAACCTCTTCCCTTGGCCTCCCAAAATGTTGGGATTACAAGTGTGAGCCACCACATCCCACTTTTATTTTTTATACTTAATTTTTGAAAATTTTCTTTTTCTTTTTAGGGAATGGAGTGAAGTGGCACCTGTAACCTCAAACTCCTGGTTTCAAGTGATTCTCCCAGTTTGGCCTCCCAAAGCACTGGATTACAAGCATGAGCCACCATACCTAGCTGAAATTTAAGTATTATTAAACCAAATACAGCTCATTTTGACCCATTAAAACATACCTTCCAAATTTCCTTCTGATCTCAATGACATCTGTGGCGATGATACTGCACTAGACTCTGGACTTTTTGTCTCAGCAGGAGAATCAACAGTAGCTGATGGGTCTATTTCAAGTGAAATACATTGTACTTTTTGTTCTCCAGTAACTAAGGATTTGTATCTTTCCCTTTCAGGAGAAATCTCTGCAAAAGCAAAAAAATAAAAATGCATGCTAGCTTTCAAAATAACTTGCATTTTACTTGTAATGACATTTAGAGAAAAGTTTAAAATACTGCACTATTTTAACAGGTAATGACTTGCTTAGCTGGTACATATTAGAAATTAATAAATGATTAAGGTACATGCCAGCCAAATTTCATTTCAACTGTACATGGCGACTTCTAGGGTGGCTAACATGGTTCATCATCTTTTTTCTTTTGACAAAATTAACGTGTATATCAGAATGTCATTTCTTAAGTTAGCAACTGATTGTTTTTGTTTACACATAGTAACAGCCACACTCTCAGTTTGCTGAACTTCCCCTACCTCATTCTTTCCAATGGTGATATACCCTTGATACCTGTCATTAACTGCAGCCCCTCAAGATTTCTAGTGTCAAGTATCCACCCTCTAGTCTCCAACACTCTCTTTTTCCACTTTCTCCCTCTAAAGCTCCAACTAAAACAAATTTTACCCTGGAAGTTCTACAAGGTACTGACCCTGCCACATTTTCTCTATCATCCCCAGAAAACTCATCTAGAGTCCATCGTCATAACCATTATAATATACATCCTCAACTCATCTACTCACGTCACTGTACCCCTGTGGCAAAACCTCAGTGCTGCAGACATTCCACTTCCTGCCTACTATATCTGCACACACGCAGCTAAACTGGCTGAAGAAAGAGAGAGATCTCGCTCTTGGTCTCCACTTCAGTTCACTGTGCCTTATAGCCAAGTGGGCCTTTGTGTCACACGGTCCTACGCCAACAGTGGGGCAGCAGGAACTGCCCTTGGCTCAGTTAACTTGCACAGGAAAAAATCTGTACACAGGCATTTGTGACCTGTTTCATCCTTGACTTCTTTCCAGTCAGCAGAGAGCAGTCCTGCTAATGTTCTGGACTCCCTTCCCTTTCCTGAGCATGAACTATTTGCCATAACAGACTGACTATGATCTCTGGATCACACCTGTAGTCCTAATTCAGCCCCACTGGTCTGCTGTAAAATCCTGTTGATCAAAGTTAGGAACCAAGAGATCAGATAGCATCACTGTTATTAAAGACTGCTTTAGTGGGTCCAACAAATACTATAAGGTAAGAATTATCCAAATACAGAAGAAAAATCTATTTCTTATCACTGACGATAAAAAACCGCACATCTGAAACACCTAATATGTCAAGAAGTAAAACAATAGATTTAATAAAATAATAATTACTAGATTGCTAGATGTAGAATTTTATATCTATATATAGAGAGAGAAATAGGGGAAGGAAAGGGAGGAGGTTAGGTATCTATACCAGTAAAAATTCTCAAAAACTGGCAAAGCAACAATGAGATATTTTTTTTAAAAAGGGGCAAATAATATAAATAGCCAGTTTATAAAGAAGCAAATCAAAATGGTCAACGGGGGCACAGTTCATCAACAAGGGTATCAGCATAATGAACATTTGTGTACTTTAACCCTGAATAAAATTTAAAAAGTATTAAAAAATTAAGTACAAAATGGCCAACAAAGAAATTGACTCACAATCAGAAAATGAAAAATAAAACCAATGAAACACGTAGTTTATACTTACAAGGCCTACCTAATATTTAAAATTAACCCTTGCAACTTAATTAATATAATACAGGACTCGATAAATTAAAAAATATTGAGTTCACACCAAGTACCTTCTTAGACCATAATGGAATAAAACTAGTAAGTCAATTGTAAGAGGAATTTTAGAAACTGTACAAATAAAAGAATTTAAACAACATGCTCCTAAACAACCATTGAGTCAATGGAGAAATTAAGAAGGAAATTTAACAATGTCTTCAAAGAAATGGAAATGGAAACATAACATACCAAGACATATGGGATACAGCAAAAACAGTGCTGACTGGAAAGTTTATAGCATTAATCACTTACATTAAAAAAGTATAAAGACTTCAAATAAACAACCTAATGATTTACACCTCAAGGAACAAGAAAAGCAAAAATAAATCCCAAATTAGTAAAGAAAAGAATAAAGATAAAAGAATAAAGAACTAAGTAAAATAGAGACCAAAAACAAACAAACAAAACAAATGATCAATGAAACAAAAGCTGGTGTTTTGAAAAGATAAACAAAATTTTAAAAGCACTGGTTATGTTAAGAAAAAAAGAGGAGACCCAAGTAACATAAAAAACAAAGAAGACAACATTACAACTGATAACACAGAAATACAAAGTATCATCAGTATCATGAACAACCGTACATTAACAAATTGGAAAACCTAGAGGTAATGGATAAATTCCTGGACATATACAACCCCCCATGATTTGACTACAAAAAAATAGAAACCTGAAAAGACCAAAAATGAGTAATGAGATTGAATCAGTAATTAAAAGTCTCCCAACATAGAAAGGCTCAGGGTCTGCTGGCTCTTTTGATGTTTTTTACAAACTTATCAAGAAGAAAAACACCATTTCTTCCAAAACTCTTCTAGAAAAATGAAGAGGAGGAAATTCTTCCTAATTCATTCTAAGAGGCCAACATTACTTCAGTACCAAAACCAGATAAGGACCAACAACAAAAAACAATAGGCCAATATCCCTGAAGATAGATGCAAAAATCCTCAACAAAATACTAGCAAAACAAATCCAGCAACACATCAAAAAGATAATACACCATGATCAAAAGGGTTTTATTACAGGAATGTAAGGATGGCGTGACATCTGCAAATCGATAAAGGTGCTAATCACATCAATAGAACGAAGGAGAAAAACAATTTGATTATCTTAATAGATACAGAAAAAGCATTTGATAAAATTCAACATCCCTTCATGATAACAACTCTCAACAAAGTAGGTATGCGAGGAACATATTTCTACACAATAAAGGTCATATATGACAAACCCATGTCTAACATCATACTGAGCAGAGAAAAGTTGAAAGCCTTTCCTCTAAGGACATGCACAAGACAAGGATGCTCACTCTTATTCAACACCTGACATTCCTAAGCCAGAGCAATCAAGCAAGAGAAAAAATTAAGACATCGAGATTGGAGAAAGGAAGTCAAATTTTCACTCTTTGCAGACAACGTGATCTTAGTATATAGAAAAAACTAAAGACTCCACCAAAAAACGATTAGAACTGATAAAATTCAGTAAAGTTGCAGGATACTAAATCAATATACAAATATCAGCAGTGTTTCTATATAACAATAATGAACTAGCTGAAAAAGAAATCAAGAAAATAATTCATTTTACAATAATTACTAAAAAAAAAATGCATAGAAGTAAATTTGACCAAGTAGGTGAAAGACCTCTAGAAGGAAAAGTAAAAAAACACCAATGAAAGAAACAGAAGAGGACAAAAATAAGTGGAAAGACATCATATGCTCACGGATCAAAAGAATCAATACTGTTAAAATGACTATACTACCCAAAGCAATGTACAGATTCAATGCAATCCCTATCAAAACATCAATGACTTTTTTTCACAGAAACAGATAAAACGAACCTAAAACCTATATGGAATCACAAAAATCCCCACACAGCAAAAGCAATACTGTGCAAAAAGTTGAAGGCATCACAACATGTGACTTCAAAATATACTACAAAGACAAATGGAACAGAAGACTGAAGGTAGAAATAAATCCAAGTATTTACGCCAACTGAATTTGAGAAAGCATCAAGAACATACATTGGAGCAAGGACACCCCGTTCAATACATGGTGCTGGAAAAATTGGAGAGGCATATGCAGAAGAATGAAGCCATATACAAAAATCATCATATACAAAAATCCACTCAAAATAACCACTCAAATACAAAACCCCAAACTATAAATCTAGCAGAATAATACAAAAAGAAATGTTTCAAGACTTTGACCAAGACAAAGATTTTATGGCTAAGACCTCAAAAGCACACGCAACATAGCAAGACCTCCATCTCTACAAAAAGAAAAAAAATTAGCTGGCATGGTGGCACATGCCTGTACTCCTAGTTACTTGGGAGGCTGAGGTGGGAAGATCGCTTGAAGCCAAGAGGTTGAGGCTGCAGTGAGCTGTGATCGCGCCACTGTACTCCAGCCTGGGTGACAGACACGCTGTCTTTAAAAATAATAATAAATAAAAGTACTAAAAATAAAAAATGTTTTGGCGCCTAAAGGCATTTTTGTCCTGAATAAAGCCTGGGCCATCTTGAAAATAGGCTGGGATAAAAGTGTAAGAATACGAGTTATTGGTATTTTTGTTTTTGATTAGTGTTTGGCATACCACTGCACAATTTCCTGGTACAAGAACATGAGGAAACTAATTACAAATATACACACTTTGTGTTTTTGCCCTTTTTTCAAACAGATGACTACATACACTTCTTTATTCACAGTTTTTCCTTTAATATTAAACAGAACGATTAGCAGCAGCCTACTCTTATCACTTGAGTAACCTGCACAAAGATCCTCTTCACCAGCTCATCCTTGGCACCTGGCTAATTCCTTAGCACATGGCTAGTTCCTTAAGAGCATGTTAACAGCCTCACCTCCTAGGTTATTTTCCACCAGCTTTGATCATGAGTTTTACCTTCGTCTTTTTAAAGGCAGAAAAAAAGAGTGACAGAGCTACAGAGAGAGCAGAAAAGGGAGAAACCCACAGTCCTGCCAAGATACAACTTTCAAAAAGAGGAAAATTGCATTCAACTTCCTTATCATTTAAACAAGCAGTTCAATCTGAAACACTTGGGTTTTGAATGTTTTTATTTCACATCTAGACCTGCAGATGAAGCATCTGTTTTAAACATGAACACGTTTCCTGATGCACAGCTAATAGTATTGCCAAGACCCAAAAGGCCCGGGGTCCTGAATATTTCCTCCTGCCGCATGACAACTCTACCTCCCCAACCCTAGAGTGATGTCCATCATTCCTACTGAAACGTCTTTTCGTCACCCTACTTCCTGAATCCACATCAAAACATACACATCCATCTCGAGGCACTGCTCCTCCTATATTTCTCTTCATGTAAAATATCGTTCTGACTTTTCCAGTCTACCCCATATACACTTCCTTTTATTTTTAGAGCCCATCCAGGTCCCATCGGGTCAAAACTCAAAACTACCATTTGGGACAACTCCTCCAGAAAACACCATCATTTTCCATCTAATTAGAAAATTATTATAACAAAAAGACATTTAAAAATAATTCACTGAGGCTGGACGTAGTGGCTCACGCCTATAATCCCAGCACTTTGGAGACCAAGGTGGGAGAAGTGCTTGAGCCCAGGAGTCTGAGACCAGCTTCTACAAAAAATATACAGCAAGACCTCGTCTTTACAAGAAAAAATTAGCTGGGCAAGGTGGTGTGCACCTGCAGTCCCAACTACTTGGGAGGCTAAAAGGACAGCTGCTTGAGCCCAGGAGGTCAAGGCTGTGATGAGCCATGATTGTATCACTGCACTCCAGGCTGGGTGAGAGTGAGACTCCAACTCAAAAAAAAGAAAAAAATTGAGTGAAAATGGAAGTCATTTAATTTTTAATAATCCTCTGGTACAGAAAAACGACGAGTTTTGCTCACCACTTCCTGTGGCTGTGTTTTCCAACAGCTCTGTCTGAAGTTGTAGCTGAGCTTCTCCAAGGATCCTGAGCACAGACTCTGTCGGGCTCTTCCCCCAGGCTCTTCTTGGGGAGCTCCCAGGATCCAATTTAATGGCCTCTCCCACGGTATCTTCCACAGGAAAAAACACAAAGAAATAACCTTCAGTAAGAGAACATAATGATGCTGCATTACAAGGCAGATGGGGGGTCTTTGATCCAGCTGTGGAGTGCTTCATGAGAAAAAAGTTTATATCACAACGATGTCCAGGCAAAGAATGACAAGTAACGGCAAGAGCAGAGGCAGCTGGGCCTAGCAATGACAGCATGTCTGTCACTGCCTTT